CGGGTTCGGTTCATCCCTCCGTAGTTATTTGGGAATAGCTTGTCTGACCTGACATTTTTTGCATCACAATCTTTATCTCGGAGTTCTGCTCTCTCCCCCGAACTCAGTCGGGCAATTTCAATATTACATCTGTTCCCCGCATATACAATTGCTTAAGTTGAATAATCCAAGAGCATTTTTGCTGCAAGCAGGGGGCATGGGACAGACTTCACCGAGCATCTGCACTATATTCATACACGGTATACAGGCTTAACCCCTTTCCATTCACGGAGCTGGACTTGAGCTTTTGGGGATGTTTTGTTATTTTCTTTACTGTTCAAGCTCTAAGTATTCGTTCTTTGTTTTAAATATGGCACGCCTTGTGCGTATTGAATAAATAAAAAAAATAAACTCTACCTGCAGAACCGCGATATTATAGAGAAGAGCCAATCAGCCTGGGCATTTCCGATAGTGCTTGTTGAAAAGAAGGATGGTAGCCTACGTCTTTGCGTTACAGGGAGCTGAACAAGTTGGATCAAATTGGATTCGTATCCATTGCCCACGATTGATACAGTACTGCAAAGTTTGTCGGGAATGAAGTTTTTCTCCGCATTGGACCTATGCTGGATACTGGCAAATACCCTTGTCACAGCAGGCTCGTGAAAAGTCAGCGTTTACCACTACGGAGGGTTTGTTTCAGTTCAAGGTAACGTCATTTGGGTTGAGTACGAGCCCAGCAGTGTTTCAGCGGTTGATGGACTCTGTACTGCAGGATTCGCTGGGCGCTGTGTTCTGCTACAAGATGACATCGTAATTTGTACGTCGACGAGGGAACGCCATATAGAGTTGCTCAGGAAGGTCTGTGAGAGATTACGACAAGCCAAGTTGAGGTTAAAGGCCCAAAAGTGTGCCCTACTACAAACCAAAGTCTCGTTTTTGGGCCATGTGGTTGACGACGAAGGAGTACACATGGATGGTGGAGGCGATCAAGAACTACGCTGTACCTACAAACGCGAAGGAGTTGAGAACATTTGTGGGCGTGGCATCCTTCTACCGCAAGTTTTGTCTTGGATTTTCCAAGGTAGCAGCATGTTTGTTCGCGATAACCTCATCAAAAGTCGTTGAATGGACCGCAGAGCATGAAGAGGCATTCTCCAAAATGAAGACAATGATAGCCTCGGCTCCTGTTCTGGTGCAACCGAATATCGAGAAGGCAAGGGAAGGATCGCGACCCTTTGTGATCTGCACAGATGCGTCCACAGTGGGACTGGAAGCAGTTTTGTCCCAAGAAGGAGACGATGGGCAGATGCACCCGTTCTATTTCGCCTTAAAAGGTCTTAGTAAGGCTGAGAAAAGATACCACATTACGGACTTAGAGGCTTTAGCTGTGGTTTTGCAGTTAGGCAGTTTCATATGTTTATATACTGGTTGCCAACCATGGTCTTGACAGACCATCAGCCGTTGACTGCACTGTTTAATCGGAATAATGTGTCGGCTAGAGTCTTGAGATGGTCCTTGGAGATGCAGCGCTATAACTTGGTAATAAAGTATGTTAAGGGTAAAACTAATGTGGTAGCTGACGCACTGAGTGGAGGCCTCGTAGGTTTAAGAGAGTGGGACTCGGTTCGAGGCGTGGATGAAGCAGTAATGAACAGAGTGGAGGTAGAGGAGAGGAGCAGATGGTTGAAAGAGTTGGAAAAGGATGAGGTATTTGATAGGATTGTAGCCTTGCTGGAAGAAGGAAAGATAGAGGAACTAGTCAAAGTGCCAAGACTGCGACACCACTACGAGTAGCAGATTTTGACATAGAGGACGGAGAACTAAAGATGTACCAGGAAGGTGGCAGCCTAGTTTTGATAGTGCCCAAAAGCGCGATTCCAAGTTTTTCATGAAGCGAATGCAGGAACATTTGCCGGACATTTTAGCGCCCATAAGCTTTGGAACCGGAGACAGGTGTTTTGGCCAAATATGGTGGCGGATATCAATGAGTGGTCGCGGGTGTCAGCGGTGCTTTGTGCATAACCCGAAAAGTATAGTTAGACCACCATTGAAGCCCATTGTCACACAGAGACCCTATGAGATCATAGGAGTAGACGTACTAGAGCTGGGCCAGACAATAAGTGGAAACAGATATGCCGTAACGGTCACTGACCACTTCTCAAAGTATGCGGCAGCATATCCTGTCCCAGACAAAACAGCTGAAACATTGCCAAAGTGCTGTTTATAAGATGGATCGCGGAAGGGTGTCGATGGCCAAAGACGATCCTGTCAGACAAGGGAGGAGAATTTGAAAACAAAGTTGTGACAGAATCGACAAAGATCACGAAGATTGAGCATGTGACGACGAAAGGGTACAATCCCAGAGAGAACGGGATAACAGAGAGATCAAACGGAACGATAGTAGGAATGTTACGCAGAAGTGTAACGGTGCCGGTAAAATGGGACGTAAGACTACCGTTCTGCATGATGGCGTACAATTGTACCCCGCAAGGCGCCACGGGAGACAGCCCGTACTTTATTCTGCATGGTATGGACCCCAATTTCCCATCGGAAGTGATACCCAGTGGAGGCGTTTCTCGGTACTCGGTGGATAAGAGTATAGATTACTATAAAGCACAGTTGCTACAGGCAGTAGCGGAGGCTCACGAGCGCGTTAGGGACTATAATAATCGAGTGAGAGAGGAAATGAAACGCTCTTATGACCTGCGCAATAAGGTAGGTACGGATTAGTTGAACATTAAGAACAAAAAGGGCACCTTCAGTACACCTGCAAAGACGGCTGCCTGAACAACATTCGCCCAAGAGAGCTGAAAGCTATGTTCGCTCCAGAGATAAGTCAAACCTGGAGGGGAGAAACTTTAAAATCAGTTTACTGACTTGCTTTAGGCCTCTGAGGAAGCATTGTCGCCAAACGTGAGAGCAAACAAATGTGTAAGGTATCAAAACTTTGAGGCACGAAAGCTAAAGGCAAAGACTCAGAGCTGGGTGTGGGCGGGGGGGGGGGGGAGTGAGTTGGTGTTTTTTTTTCATTTCGCTCGCGGACAGAAGGCAATCCACCAGTTTTTGTAAGAACGTTGTTGACTCTTCCCTCGCTATGACTTTTCACAGATGGATTGCTGCTTTTTCAGCAAAGGGAGAGCGGCCACTTTCCTGCAACTGGAAGCAAAGTGCAATCAATCGTCTTTTAAAAGCTCGTCTACCGGGCGATTGCACGAGAAGGGGATTTGCTCTGATATAACACACTTTGGGCATACTAGTTCAGATTAGCGCCTTATCGATGCGTGTGGTAGTTTTTATGATTGTAAAGATATACGGCTATTCGCTTTGAACCAATGCAGTCAGACAAATGAGAAAATACGCTTGAAAAGTTGAGAGACTTACACCCTAAGGAAAAAGCCTCGCTTACCGGTGGTCTCTGCTCTGCAACAAAGTGCGCAGGCCGCTACAGTCAAGGTCATAGAGTCCACTACGACTTTGGGTCTTACCCTTGGCAAGAACTGTTTCACTCGCTCAAATTCGAAATATAGAACCTTCAAAAAGCTCTGTCTCGGTTTTCGCCTCTACGAGGTGGATTTTCTAATTCAGCGTAGCGTATAAGCCCAGGTAAGCGAACAAGTTAGAAACTGTTCTTGCACGTGCCTTTAAAGACATTTTGCTTTTTCTACTTCTCAGACAATCGACGGGACCCCTCCGCCGGACCCTCGGAAACTGCCAGAGTCGCGCCGGACCCAGTTGACCAATGAGAGAAGGGCAAATGGGCGGTCCATCGCGGTGGCATCACTGGCAGGCAAATGGGAGGCTTTTCCGGCCCTGCTGCAAAGGTCCGCCATTTCTCCGGCGCGACTCTGCCAGATTTGACGGACTCCGCGCCGCAGAGATTTGCGCGGCGCGTGTCCGCCAAATTTGGAAGAGCCGCGCCGGAGAAAATGGGAGGGGTCCGGAGCAGAAATGGGAGGCCTCCGGAGCAGAAAATGGTGGTAAAGCGCGATTCCAAGTTTTTCATGAAGCGAATGCAGGAACATTTGCCGGACATTTTAGCGCCCATAAGCTTTGGAACCGGAGACAGGTGTTTTGGCCAAATATGGTGGCGGATATCAATGAGTGGTCGCGGGTGTCAGCGGTGCTTTGTGCATAACCCGAAAAGTATAGTTAGACCACCATTGAAGCCCATTGTCACACAGAGACCCTATGAGATCATAGGAGTAGACGTACTAGAGCTGGGCCAGACAATAAGTGGAAACAGATATGCCGTAACGGTCATTGACCACTTCTCAAAGTATGCGGCAGCATATCCTGTCCCAGACAAAACAGCTGAAACATTGCCAAAGTGCTGTTTATAAGATGGATCGCAGAAGGGTGTCGATGGCCAAAGACGATCCTGTCAGACAAGGGAGGAGAATTTGAAAACAAAGTTGTGACAGAATCGACAAAGATCACGAAGATTGAGCATGTGACGACGAAAGGGTACAATCCCAGAGAGAACGGGATAACAGAGAGATTAAACGGAACGATAGTAGGAATGTTACGCAGAAGTGTAACGGTGCCGGTAGAATGGGACGTAAGACTACCGTTCTGCATGATGGCGTACAATTGTACCCCGCAAGGCGCCACAAAAGACAGCCCGTACTTTATTCTGCATGGTATGGACCCCAATTTCCCATCGGAAGTGATACCCAGTGGAGGCGTTTCTCGGTACTCGGTGGATAAGAGTATAGATTACTATAAAGCACAGTTGCTACAGGCAGTAGCGGAGGCTCACGAGCGCGTTAGGGACTATAATAACCGAGTGAGAGAGGAAATGAAACGCTCTTATGACCTGCGCAATAAGGTAGGTACGGATTAGTTGAACATTAAGAACAAAAAGGGCACCTTCAGTACACCTGCAAAGACGGCTGCCTGAACAACATTCGCCTAAGAGAGCTGAAAGGAATATACTTCCCCGGAGCCCCGCCAATCAGCCGCTAAGAACGATCTGGGACGCGTGGCATGCGGCTAGCAACTTCATCAGAACCGACATCGAAATGTCGGAAAAGATACAGTTTTGGAAAGATGGCGCCTTATTGCTGGAGGAGGACGCCTTGCAGAAGTTGCTGAAGATCGCGTATGACAAGTGTTTCGATTGGACTGAGTTCGTGTGCACGACAAGTGGTATCCGCAAGCACGAGAAGATCGACGACTTCGGATTCGAGACAACTTACGATGCGGCGTTGAAGAAAATGAAAACGGTTCTTCAGAACGAAGAGCGCGACAGACGCATCATCCAAGATGGACCAGTAGCTTTTGCCGCACCGCCCTACGCTTCCTTGCTCGAAAAAGATGGACCGGGAATAGGAATTTTGACGAAGGTGGCAAGGTCATTCCGCCATCTCAGCGACATCCTCAGCGATTGGAAAGCGAATAAGATCTGGATCATCGTGTGGCCGTTAAAGTTGCCACGGAAAGCGATTTTTGCAGCATTGTTCAGAGCGTCGTACAGTTTTATGGCTTTCATGCAAGCCAACGCATGCGTGAACCCTGGTACATTCAGGGGAGGCAAGCATGAAAGTTTTGATGAGTTCATAAGGAGGTTTAAAAGGAAGTATATAAAGGTAATCCAGGATGACTATACGTTGATCGACATCCTCGGGGATGACCATTTAGATGGTAGAGCGAAAAGCATTTTTCTATCGCTACCCCAAGAAGTGAAGTCAGCAGGTTTTAAGCGGGTGGTAGAGGAATTGAGAAAGCTTTTAGCTGATGACTCTATGGCCAGGGCCCGGCACGAGTCGGTTTCTAGAGTTTCTGAAAACGAAGTCTCCCCTGACTTTCGGAAGTTTTACGAAGTCCTCTTTGACCTACCTGCTTAGGAGAAGATGAAAACAAGAAAGATTTACTAGCCTAAAAGAAAAGACGTAAGATAAGAGTGAAAATCCAAATTGGAGCTGAATAGTACGCATGCATAAGACTTTGGCATAAAAGCGCGATATTTAACAAAGCGAGAAGAACTGGAAGCAAAAAGCAAAGGAAAGGCAATGATATGAAAATGTCTTCATGCTCAGGGATAGATTTTTGACCGGGGAATCCGCCCAAGCTAAAAAGATCCGAAACTTATGTGAAGTGACGGAAATGTATGCTCCAGACGATCTCAGATCGTCTGGTGGCCGTTTGGAAACGATCTAACTTTGGAAAAGGTATTACTTCGCATAAGTCTCCAAATCTTTTTACATAATACATTCGCAGATAATTTTCTATACATGCCTTTCAATTTTGGTGTCATATGCTTCTGTGTGCGCTGTAAACAAGCAATTTGTTTATTTTAGCACTGCTTTCAAATCGCGCGCACTTTTCGCCATGCGCGATAGAGCATGTCAAATCGTGTGATAACCTGCCCGAAAAGCTTGTGTTCGACTAAATGGCGCTTATTCTTGGTGCTCGGTTCAGATGCGATATCCCCATTGCTGTTTGCTTCAAAAACAAAGTCCAGCCTGCTTCCAGACGATCTATGCCGGGCTCTGTCTATGGCAGGTATTCTAAGGGCTCTAAGGGAACTTAGAAACCTAAGACGGCGAGAAGGCCAGAGTGTCGGATTTTTGCGTTGTATTTGAGAGACTTGGTAGACAAGCCAATCCCACGGCTACGGTAGGAGGCAGGTCCCTTGAGTACGCGCAGATATTGGTGGATAATCTGAAGGAGTGGCCAGAACATATACAGCTGTTGAGCGCTCTGCACAACGTGCAACCGCAAGAAGCATATAACGCAGTGAAACAATTAGCCTTGAGTATTGAACAGTCTAAGGAGATTTTCGGATCTCAAGTAGCAAGAGCCAAGACCGATAAGTATAGCTGGAAAAGAAGGCTATGGGCGTATGACCTTAAAAGAGACCACACGGGGACGAAAGGAGGACCGCCACAAGACAATATAAGGGTGGAGGCAGGGCCAAAAGGCACTTCGCTTAGAAGAGGGAAAACTTAATCAGTAACAGATGCAATGCTCCAGACGGGAAAGTCGCCAGTGCAAGAAGGATTCTATGAGGTTGTTGAGACCAGAAAAGCAGCACGTCAGCGGATCAGAGAAAGTGTACAGCTGTATAAGGTATGGACACATCGCGAAAGATTGTCCATATAGGCGGACACAGGTGAAACAAGTGGAGCAGGTAAAGAAGACGCCCGAGCAAATACGTGATAAGATGAGCCTAAGTGAAATTATCGACAACGCAAGTTAGGACTGAAGACCAGGGAAGAAAGTGCGCGTGAACCCTTAGTGGGTAAGAAGTTTTCAGCCTGTATTACAATGTTAGGCATGAGACTTCCCGCTGTCCTCGATACAGGATCAATGTTTGATATAATAACGGTGGGAGTGTTGGCGGAGAAAGCAGGGTTTGACCTAGACAGTTTGGTAGTGATACCGAAGGCCGAGATAGTTCATGTCTTTGACGCTTCATCAAACAGAATGCAGTTTCTGGGAGCTGTAAGGATACCAGTGGCAATGGACAAAGGTAGAAAGAGCGTGGTAGCTTTCCATATCTTAGACGTCAAAGACGACGACATTCTTATAGAAATTAAGCAACCACCTACTACAGCTGTAGCACTTTCTCTGATCCGCGGACGTGCTGCTTTTCTGTCTTGTCTCAACAACCTCATAGGGTCCTTCTTGCACTAACGACTTTCCCGTCTGGAGCATTGCATATGTTACTGCAGTTTTCCCTCTTCTAAGCGAAGTGCCTTTTGGCCTTGCCTCCACTCTTATATTGTCTTGTGGCGGTCCTCCTTTCGTCCCCGTGTAGTCTCTTTTAAGGTCGTACGCCCATAGCCTTCTTTTCCAGCTATACTTATCGGTCTTGGCTCTTGCTACTTGAGATCCGAAAATCTCCTTAGACTGTTCAATACTCAAGGCTGATTGTCACTGCGTTATATGCTTCTTGCGGTTGCACGTTGTGCAGAGCGCTCAACAGCTGTATATGTTCTGGCCACTCCTTCAGATTATCCATCAATATCTGCGCGTACTCAAGGGACCTGCCTCCTACTGTAGCCGTAGGATTGGCTTGCCTACTAACAAGGAAATGGTCAGAAGTCGAAGTGGCCAATCCATACAAGCTGCATACCATTGAATGCAGTATAAAATGCTGACTCTAAATCTGTCTTCCTTATCTGCAGAGCGCTTTTGTGGACGAAATTATAAGAAGTTGAAGGCCATCATTTTGCTAAGAAATTGTGCACGTAAAATGCAAACTTGGCCGTACAAAGCCATTCTCGGCTCAGTGTTGGACCAAAACATGCAACTAGGTCAGTTTATATGACCCGTACCTAGATGTGAGCTGAAACAGCAATAATGTGCCTAATTTCGCAATTTTTGTATACGGTTTTTTCGCAGTAAAGCTGCTCATAACTTCGCCTACAAAGGCGCTCTGCAGATACGGAAGGCAGATTTGAAATCAGCGTTCTATGCTGCATCGAATGGTATGTAGCTTGTTTGGATTGGCCACTTCGACTTCTGACCATTCCCTTGTAAGTCTCTCAAGTACAACGCAAAAATCCGACACTCTGGCCTTCTCACCGCCTTAGGTTTCTAAGTTCCCTTAGAGCCCTCAGCCTACCTGCCATAAACAGAGCCCGGCATAGATCGTCTGGAAGCAGGCTGGACTTTGTTTTTGGAGCAAACAGCAAAGGGGATATCGCATCTGAACCGAGCACCAAGAATAAGCGCCATTTAGTCGAACACAAGCTTTTCGGGCAGGTTATCACACGATTTGACATGCTCTATCGCGCATGGCGAAAAGTGCGCGCGATTTGAAAGCAGTGCTAAAATAAACAAATTGCTTGTTTACAGCGCATACAGAAGCATATGACACCAAAATTGAAAGGTATGTACTACTATGTACTATTTTACTATTCAGCTCTAATTTGGATTTTCACTCTTATCTTACGTCTTTTCTTTTAGGCTAGTAAATCTTTCTTGTTTTCATCTTCTCCTAAGCAGGTAGGTCAAAGAAGACTTCGTAAAACTTTCGAAAGTCAGGGGCGACTTCGTTTTCAGAAACCCTAGAAACCGACTCGTGCCGGGCCCTGGCCATAGAGTCATTAGCTAAAAGCCTTCTCAATTCCTCTACCACCCGCTTAAACCCTGCTGACTTCACTTCTTGGGGTAGCGATAGAAAAATGCTTTTCGCTCTACCATCTAAATGGTCATCCCCGAGGATGTCGATCAACGTATAGTCATCCTGGATTACCCTTATATACTTCCTTTCAAACCTCCTTATGAACTCATCAAAACTTTCATGCTTGCCTCCCCTGAAGGTACCAGGGTTCACGCATGCGTTGGCTTGCATGTAAGCCATAAAACTGTACGGCTGACCTCTGTCCTGGTGGTCCGGCTCCGACGGTTCCAAAGGCCGTCTCAAGTGCCGCTCTGAGCGATCCCCAGTCGGACGCGGATGGCTTGTCGTGTCTAGCTAAAATTGTTTCTCACTTCTATGTCATCATTTGGAACAAAACAGCTTCTTGTTTCAAACTGACCGCTAGTGGTTGGTTCGATGTCCATCATTTCGGGCTTTTCACGAGATCTCAATTGACCCGCTTTCACCTGTAACACGTTTGTATTGAACATATCACAGATTTCCATTAGTAGTTCCCCATCCTTCTCTGCCAGAAAGTCCCTTACGTCCTCAACTGAATCAATCCCTTTTTCGTAAAGAACACCGCATACACTTTTAGCAAAACCCTGGACCCTTTTTAGCTTATCTGTTATCTTATCTAAATCGCCACCTACTTTTCTTATTGCAGTGAGCTTTTCTAATTGTTCTCTATATTTTCCCGCTATCTTGGCGTCCTCCGTCTCCCTTCTCAACTCTTCCGGCCAATGTTCTACCAATCTTTTGATTTTGTCCAAGCCCTCACTTATACTCCTCAGTATACCCTCGAATTCCTTTGCACTAACCTGTTTCTTGCTTGCACTGGCTCTTTGTGCAGTTGCCTTGGTGCTGCTACTCGTTTCGGGCACCTCTGAAAGCATACTCTCACTTCCGGTATGCATCTTTCTCGGCGCCGTCGCCACTAAGGTCCGCGCACGTCGAATTCAATCAATAAATTCGCCTACAGGCGCTCTATCTATTGCGCCAATATCGATCGATATTCGAAAGCCACTGTGCTCCTACAGCTTGCCCTGTCGATCGATGATGGCCTCTGCAGCTGTTCGGCCACTTGGCTTATGCTATCCCGGCAGTTGAGTTTTGTCCCTCACAAGGGAAGTCACTTAACTTAGGTCGGCCTTTTGAAATTAGACACATATATTTAGAATCAGCTCGGAACGCTGATTCCAAATATGCTGTCCTTAGCTGCGAAGCTTTCCTCTAAAGCGAGTTATAAGCTTTTTAGTATGTATAATTGACATATAACTGAATATGGAAAGAAGGCCTTTAGATGAAAATCTGTCTTAAAAAAGTGGTGGGAAATCGAAATAACATCAAACTGAGTCATTTGGATTTGATAGAGTGTTGTATGCATTTGAACTACTACCTGGATGACGATACCGTAGCATGCCTAAGTCGGTCAGCACGCAAACTTTGCTTGGGAAAAAGCTCATAACTCGCTTTAGAGGAACGCTTCGCAGCTATGGTTAGCATATTTGGAATCAGCGTTCCGAGCTGATTCTAAATATATGTGTCTCATTTCAAAAGGCCGACCTAAGTAAAGTGACTTCCCTTGTCAGAGCCTGGTATCACGGACCGGTTCGGCCCCCATGTAATGGATCCGGTACTAAAAGATTTCGAGGTGATGCCTCGGCTCTCAGAAAACAGAAACACAGCTCCGGCCCACGTTTATTGCCAGACAGCACGACAAATAAGGTGACAGAGGAAAAAAACACCAACAAAACACGAAAGCACCACAAAAAAAAGAATAAGTGAGGATCGATCAGGAGATACTCAAAAAAGGCACAGAACCGAAAAACGTGGGGCGTCGACTGGCTGAGACACGAAGTGAGTGAATTTCAACACACACACCATTGCGTGTCCCCGCGACTCCGTTCCCGGCGGGACCTCTCACGGCAATGCCGTGTCCATCAACCCCTCACGGCGCTTGGAAGGGCGCTCGAAGGCGCCCCCAACTTCCACATCTGCACCTAAAGTTGTATTTTTTAAAGGCAAAATGGAGCTTTCTCTCACAGTTTACCCCATCCTTCAATTCATGGACTGACTCCTGAAAACGCGCTTCAAACTTCCACCAACGACGCCCATTCAAGGGAAGTGGGCGGGACCGGGTGGAGCAGAAATTAGCACATGAATTTGCAGATGGAGTTTGGGCTACAGTGTACTTGGGGGGTCTACTACTTGAATCCACCAAAAGGGTTCGACTTGCCGATCCACTGCCTTTAAACTTGCAAGGCATTGTGGAAGTTGGTTGGTTGAAATCATTATGATTTTTTGTTACTGGAGGAGAAGCAAACCGTGGCAAAAGCGACTGCGCAATCTTCACATTTGCAGTGCACGATCTTCCGCTATCTAAATAGCCCAAAGCTTTCTTCGGCACTTTTGCACTTCCTTTCCACTTGGGAAGAAATCTAGTCAAAGTGGAGAACTTTAACACGTTTCGGACCGGTGCTGCACATGGTGCAGCACGCGCCCTTCAAGGATCTTTTTGGTGTTTGCAGGAGGGTTCTTTTTGTCCAAGGTTATTAAATCAAAGGCCTAAGCTCCTCCTTTTCAAATGACTCTGTGAGGCTGTGCCGCCGATATTTGTTTAGAAGATATGAAGACAACTCGAACAACAGTTGCAACGAAGTGCGGTAAAGCGAACGACGCGTGCGACGTCGCAACTTTTCCTTGCTTCGAATTCAAAGAGGAAAAGTAGTTCCAATAATGATGTGTATCGTGTACAACATAGATACTTTTTGATACACTTAGAAACTGAGTTCTTGTTCCTATCTTTCAGGAAAGCACAGAAGTCCTTCTCAGGCGACAAAATTCAAACACTTCGAATTCACTCAGAACTTTGGGTATGAATCATATCTGACATGCTGATTACAGATGTAGCACACAGTATACGAATTGAGGTCCCTTTGTTGGCTAACGGCTGAAAGTACCCTTTTTTTCGGCGCGCGCGATTTCGCGGTCCGGAACATGTTAATTTTTC